AACATAGTATGTTAAATAGATGAGACTGAACACGATTATTGAAAGAGTAAATTTATCTCCAATTTTGTTCACCAAGTATGGAAAGAAGCAGCTAAAAATGCACTGATGCCATCCCTAACAGCTTGAGAAACTGGTTTCTTTGCTGTGTAGGAAAGAGTCTATGGATCAAGATGTGAAAATGAAGCGATTAACAGCATGTTTGCTTAAGCCTTAAAGAAGACTTCTCACTAAACAAGTTTGGACAACTTATCGTTTTCTTACTTTTAATTTACTTTGTCCACTTGTATACTTATAAGTAAACTGTTTAAGCTTAGCCAAACATGCTATAAATTTGCAAATATAGTGAGAGAAATGACATATAAATTTTTGAGCATATTCTCTCTCATCTGTAGTCTATGTCTTGAGGAACTTGAGAGATAATTAGATGTCCTAAAAGCACTCAGAACAGTTCGACATTTTAAGCTGATTCTGCTTCCATTTAGGCAATTTTGACGTACAAATTTAAATAGAAATTTTAAACTTATTCTGCTTCCATTTGAATTTACGTAGAAAATATATTATTGCGTACGTATGGGGTTGAAAATAAGTACATAAAAAAATAGAGTTTAAAAAAAATGGTTATCAAATAGGGGGTTAGTTTTACCTTACTAATAAATTAGCTTCATTCTGTGGACCAAATGAATTTGTGGAAAAAGGTAGTGGTTTTTTGCCACCATTATGAATTTTTCTTACATCAAAACAATCAAATATTGGTCAATCTTTCTTCAATTGTCTTATCACCTTCCTGTTGATTAAAATGGTTGGTGAAGAATCAAAGTTATGGGCCATGTTGTATGAATTTTGTAAACTTGACGGACATAGTCACGTGAAAATGTAAACATTAGTCAAAGGGTTGGCCGAAAATTACAATAACAACAAATTAAATTTTAATTCAAAGAATATGGTCGTTCGGTTGCGAGTTAAAAATCTCAATTAATTGCTTGGACTCGACAAGTATTTGTGAAAAGTGACCACTGTGCTAAAATTCAAGTTATGCAGGAAGTAGACATTACCGTAACTTTTGGTAGGGAAATGTTGTGTTGAAATGCCAACTTTATGAATACCAATAATTCGCTTGACATTCTCTTGATGACGGGCGATGTTTCTGTCGTCGACGGTGGTGGTTGATTGGAAGTTATGGTGGATGAAGTGGTGAAAATGGAATGGTGGAAAATGGGGTTAGGATTAATTTTTCTATATTAAGTGGGTGGGTGTGGAATGGAGTGAGGAAGTGCACCTGATTTTCCTAAAATAAATTTCTTCGCACTTGATTATTGAAATGAACAATGACAAGGTAGGATGCAATTCTCTCTTTTAAGTAAGGTTGAAGGCCCAATATTTTTGAAAGAATTCTGGGCCTTTAGAATTGGGCTCTTTACAAAAATGTGTCTCAAGAACTGTAGTGATGACAAAAAAAATTCGTCTCGACAAGTTGATGGGATGGGATGGGACTCGCCGCCCCTTCTCGGGGCATGGGACGAGGATGCCCCTCCCTGAACTTGCCCCGTGAAGAGAAAAACAATTTTAAAAAAATTTATTTTTTAACAATTCACCTATTAAAAATCTATTTTTAATTTGTATATAATTTATTCTCTAATAATATCATAACTCTAAATTTTGAAAAATGTCAAAAAAAAGGCAGCAAACGGGGTAAGCTGTTGCCCCGCCTCCTCTAAGGTGGGGCGAGGCACGACTGGGTTTGGGCAGGGCCCCACTGCTATCCCTATCAAGGAGTCCTTTACTCTAGCATACGAGTCAATGTTACAATATAACTATCATATTCAATTCAGTCAAGATATCATGTCATTCGGTGAATGGTTGAGCCGATGGATTATTGGTCAAATCGATATGTCAATGTTGAATTTTTCAATGTATACGAATTTTGTTTTCTAGACAATAAAAATTTCAAATTGTTTGTTAATAGTATAAACATTTTATCTTAGAAAGGTATTTATATTTTTCGAATAAAATAATAAAATTAATTAAAAAAAGGAAAAAAAAATACACTGGACGAAAAAACGGTTGTGGAGATTATAGAGATGCAGGATTTTTTTAAAATTTTTATTTTTTATTTTTGCCTTAATTGTTTTTATCTTCCTTTTTCTTTTCCTTCTATTTCCTTATTTATTTATTTTGTATTCAAAAATTATTTATGTGTACCCATTTTATCCTCAAAACAGTGTTCTACCTATCGTGAACGTGACATTTCAATGATAATATGGACAATTTTCTTCCCTAGGAAAAGTAATGTAACAAAATTAAGATGTCAAGAATTTATACATTCCACATGAAAAGTCAGGAACGAAATTTTTACCTATGCTATAAATCGGGACCTCTGTGGCAATTCTACCATAGACCAGTCTATACCTTTGAGGCCCTTTAAATGTGACTAGTTCATATGTTCGACAAATTCGGATAATTTCATTAAGATTGGCATACAATTTGACATACCACATGTCATTGTATCATTGAACAACTTAAAAAACGGTCAACTTTTTTCACACAATCATCTATTGACACATGCAATTATATCAAGCATTCTGTTAAATCCTTCTGGCAAAGTAGCTTTATCCTTGATGAAAATGAGTTTAGTATACTTTTTAGCCATCCATACATACTAGACAGAACAATACCAAATAAAATTAATAAGAAAGAGAAATTAATTTTTTTTATTGTGTGATCCAATTGGTAAAAAACATCAAATTTTGTGCGCACTTACCACGCTCTTCACGATCATACGTCATATGAGATACATATTATTCAAAACTCCATACCAAACATGTATCAAGTGCTAACTATTGTAATCAAAATAGAGAATTAATGTGAAAGTGATTATGAGTTACAAATTATGTACCTCATACGACGTATGATCGCTGAGAACATGGGAAGTACACACAAGATTTGAGGTAGGAATTTTTTTTTCCCTAAACCGATGATATCTTGTGCAAGAAATTCACTAATTTAACCCTATATAAGAGAATTCACTGCTTAAATTGACTCCAAAGCTTCCTCTAGCATACTCGAGTCAGTGATGGATTATTTGCCCTTGCGATAATTGAAAGATGAGAAAAATCTTGATCAATATATTGTGGTAGTAGTATTACTTAGGCCCTTTTTTCCTTTCGATAAAAATTAATTTTTTAGTAAATTTTGATAAAAGTTGATGACAAGTGTGGTTAAAAAGTTCGTGAAAATTATGAATCCGTGTTATTAAAATTAATTATTAACTTTAATTTTTTAGCCAAACCAAACGGTCCAAACCTGGGCTTGTAGTATTGTTATAATAATGAAGATTGGATTCTAATGTTAATTATTGTCCCTTTGTGTGTGTAAATAGAATTATAGGACATGTCACTGCTTATTCATTTGTGAAGATGGCTCCACAGTTTCTTGCAGTTCTTGGATCCTGTTTGCAAGTGCTTTCTTTGCTTTTATATGAATTTTTTAAGGTGCATTTGGCACATTGAGTTAGATGGTATCAAGAATTAAAAATAATATTAGAGAGGATGGTATTAGGTGAATTAATGTTGATTAGAGCCATCGTTTAACTAATATCTAATACACAGAAGAATTTATTCTGAAAGTACCGAAACTCTCGTGGAATTCTTTTCACTTAGAGTATGTTTAATTGACATGAAAAATATCACCTAAAAATGAAAATGTTTTCCTTCTTTTGGGGAAAATAAAAACCATTTTCACGCAAGGAAAATGTTTTTCTCAAAAACAAGGAAAATTAAACATATTTTCAAAAGTTGGAAAATATTTTTCATAGAAAAAAATAGCAATCAAACACCTTAAGTAGAAATTTGGATGGAAAACTGATATTTTTCATGGAAAATAAATGTAATCAAACACACCTATAAAAAAATAGAACCTAAGAATTTAAAATTGGGTAATGCTACGTGTACATAATCGTGTATATAGACTTACACGTCACATGGAGGAGGCCCACACAATAAAGTATAGATGGACCGCCTACATGTGATGAGGGTGTAATCCCATATGTACATCTTGATTTTCCTTTAAAATTGGGCATAAAAGAATGAATAATACAGAATCCCCTTAAAAGGAAGAAAGGTCAAAAAGTAGATTTTGACCCGCCACAGTATATACTCTAGAAAAGGAATCCCGATGTCTCCAAAATGACTATTAGTTTGCCCACATACTTTAAATCAAACTACAATCCCATATTTACACTACTGGGTCTGTGCACATGGAATTTTGAGTTCCATTTGGCATACATTCTTTACAGACTGACAGGATTTTTCTTCGAAAAGAAGAAAAATAAGCCTACTTTAAGTCAATTTGAAATTATAATTGAGAACTGATTAGTTAGAAAGAAGAAGTGCTCAGTAAACAAAGTGGACAAGAACAAGAAACACCAGCACATCTTTATCCCACTTTCTCTCCTTTTCATGTGGTTAACTCTCTTTTACTGTAACCAAAAGAAAAGCAAATGGCTAATATATAAAGAGAGGGAAGGCCAACTACTGAGACCCCGTTTGAGAGGAATTTTGAGAATTGATTTTTTGACCGTTAGAAGAAAATTGAGGTCCATCTGTGAGAGAAGAAGTCAAAAATTACGACTGAAATAATTAAATAACGATCAAACAATCAATTTTTTGGGTAAAAAAACCTCTCCCAAACAGGCTCTAAATAAATGTCGCCTTAAAACACGAGAAAGACTACTTATGTTTTCATTTAACTTTCTTTTTGGTTTGAATTCATAAAAAATATTTTCTTTGTGTAAAAATTTGTATCACTAAACAAGCGTGCTAACTACTGATTCTTAATAATTCCAAGAATTGACTAATATTAATTATGTGGATCAAAAGAATGGTTAAAAATCAACCTTTCATTTTTCAACATGAAGACCGAACTTTAACTATTTACTTGACTATATTCATTGACTTTTAGATTCATGTTCAACAATGTATCGGTATAAAGAAAAGTCGTACTTTACAATAAAAAATTTTCAAGTTTAGATTTTGATGATAAAGGAATCTGATTCGTGCATGGGTTTGTGTCCATGTGGACGAGTTTGTACACATTAAATCATCATTAAACTCTCATATGTCAAGAAAATTATATTTAGAAAAGCAGTATTAAATGATGAATAGGTGGTGGGAAGAAAGTGACGAGGGTGGAGGTGACTATGGATGGCGGCGAGACATGGCAGATTGCCGCTTTGGACCACACGGAGAAGCCGAACAAGTACGGCAAATACTGGTGCTGGTGCTTCTGGTCACTGGAGGTGGAGGTGCTGGATTTACTTGCTGCGAAAGAAGTTGCAGTTCGGGCCTGGGATCAATCCCTCAACACGCAGCCCCAAAATCTAATTTGGAATGTCATGGTAACTCCACCCCACCCGCATTTTTGGCTTAATATTCTGCCCGCTTGATAATATTTCTTAAATTTTTTATTTTTGAAAACTCATTTTTAACGTCACTTCTTTAATAAAATTATTTGATACATGGATTCATAATATTTTTTATTTTTTTATTTTTTATTTTGTTAACGATACATTCTTAAAAAGTATCAATTATCTCAAAATGGGGCTACCAAAGTCAAATTTACTTATAAGTACGCAGTTGGTAAAGACTTTTATTAAGAAGTGTTTGGAATTGAAATCTAGCAACTTCTAAGAATGCTAAAAGATGTCAGGCAAAAGTTTGTTTATAAGTTCACGAGTAAATAAGTAATTTTTAATTGACCTATATATATGTAATATATTAAGCCTTTTTAGTAGGGATTAAAAATTTAGATTTTAATATTAGTTAAAATTAATAATTATCTTAAGAAGATATTTTATGGGATTCATTAATTTTAATCACACATCTCATCATTTTTATCAAAATCTACTAAAAATTTAAACTTACTGATTACTGATAAGTAATTTTAGCTGGGCACAATGTAGACAAAAAATTCTTACTACTGACCGTGTGCTGGCATGTGCCATTATAAAAATTTAAACTTTTTTTTTATTTTTCAACCATATATTTCTTATCAATCTACTATTTTAAAATATGTTTTTTCATAAAAAAAGGAAGTCAAACACCCTCTTAAAAAGCAAGTAACTTTAAGAAAGTATATAATCTTTAAATTGTGCAGGGAATGATGAATAATTGTTGGTTCCGAGTGAAAACTAATGTGTGCAAACCACTCAAAGGAGAGATTGGAATCGCCTTTGAACACCCAACTCAACCTGGAAACCAATCTGGTGGATGGATGGCTAAGGAGAGGCACTTGGAGAAATCCTCCGAGGCAAATCAAACCCTAAAGAAGAGTGTTTCATCGCCTTTTATGAACACTTCTTCAAAAATGTATTCAATGTCTGAGGTTAAGAAGCACAACTCGTCCGACTCTGCCTGGATCATCGTCCACGGCCACGTCTACGACTGCACTCGCTTCCTCAAGGACCACCCGGGTGGCACTGACAGTATTCTCATCAACTCTGGCACAGACTGCACGGAAGAATTTGACGCAATCCATTCTGATAAGGCCAAGAAACTTTTGGAAGATTATAGGATAGGTGAATTGATAACTACTGGTTATACCTCAGATTCCAGTGCTTCATCTCCTAATAATTCAGTTCATGGTCCCTCGGGAGGCGATCTCTACTTAGCCCCGATCAAGGAAATTGCACCGGCGAGAAATGTTGCCCTAATTCCACGCGAGAAAATTACATGCAAACTTGTTTCCAAGACGTCAATTTCCCATGATGTTCGAGTGTTTCGATTTGCATTGCCTGCTGAAGATCAGGTTCTAGGATTACCTGTTGGGAAGCATATATTTTTGTGTGCTACAATCGAGGATAAGCTTTGCATGCGAGCTTACACGCCAACAAGTGGAGTTGACACAGTCGGATATTTCGAGCTAGTCGTGAAGATTTACGTCAAGGTAATTCATCCCAAATTTCCAAATGGTGGGCTTATGTCACAGCATTTGGACTCACTCCAACTTGGATCATTCTTGGATGTGAAGGGTCCTTTAGGTCACATTGAATACACGGGAAAGGGCAACTTTTTGGTGCATGGCAAACACAAGTTTGCCAAGAAACTAGTCTTGCTCGCTGGTGGCACGGGGATTACGCCGGTTTATCAAGTTATGCAGGCTATTTTGAAGGATCCTGAGGATGAAACTGAAATGTTTGTAGTATACGCTAATCGCACCGAAGATGATATATTACTTCAAGACGAACTAGACGAATGGGCTGAGAAATATCCGGACAGGGTCAAAGTGTGGTACGTCGTCCAAGAATCTATTAAAGAAGGCTGGAGATATAGTTTGGGCTTCATCACGGAGAGCATTCTCCGAGAACACATTCCCGAAGCATCGAAAACCACTCTCGCATTGGCTTGCGGACCGCCACCGATGATACAGTTTGCCATTAATCCCAATTTGGAGAAGATGGGCTACGATATAAAGAATTCTTTGTTGGTGTTCTAGAGTGACACCTGAAGCCTAATGGATGGTTTGATTATTCGATAGATGAAATAAATTTTGTGAGTATAATACACGTATCATTTCTCTTGTTGTTTTTATCAACTTGTCGACAATCTTTCTCCTTTTTTCAATTTTTTTTCTTTAGATTTTATTTTTTCTACCACTATATCTAGTCCCGGGTGCAAAGGGAGTCAAACTTTGCCGCCCAATTTTGCTGTCTATACAATTAATTTTTGACACATCATTTCGTACGTTAGTGGTGAAGTTAATAAGAATAAATCTGAGATGAACAGCAAAATAGGGCAGTAGATCTTGACTTGTGCAAAGGTACGTTGGCTTGCCAACTCGTCCAGGCTGTTTTATTTACTTTATTTCTTTTTGAAAAAACCATGTATCGTAGTTTGTACAAATTTCCATAGAATGCATCTTAATTTCCTTTATTTTCTCGTAATGATTCCTGAATTATCTCTAATTTGTAAAATAAAGAAAAATATTTAAAAAGTCTGCTCGACTTTGAAGGTAAAGTGTACGCGGCTTTGTCGTGTTGTCACCTGTGGAATATTGAAATATCCTGTCCAAAAGCACACAACTTAATATATTATTGAATATCCAAATAGCACTTTTAGTATTTTTTTTTTTTCAATTCTATAATTGTTTATTTCCTCACTTTTTTTAATTCTGTAATAATTTATGTGGTGGTGTTATTGATATCTCTAGACGTATGATGTCCATATGATATTCCCAAAATGTTATTTGGACAGTACCCTAAATAAAACAGAATGAGGGACATGTTCTTGACCTCATTAAATTGGATCCAAAAATAATTTGTTCATGCATTGAAATGCTATCCAAATTCTGTTTAAAGATGATGTTATATATAAATGTCTATGGAAATGGTACTTCTAGTTTGTTCTTAACTATTCTAATAAGTATTGTATTTGATCTTGATCGAGGAAGAAAGTTGTTTGCACCATATCTCGAAAATAGGACAAAAGTAGAGCAAACTGTTCAAAAAAAAAAAAAAAAGGGGGAATATTTGATATATTTGTGTGTATTCTATGTAAAGAATCGAACGACGGAAATGATAATTTATGCAAAAAAGTGAACGTGATATAATGACACATTAAGCAAATGCCTCTTTGATTGTTGGGTATATCTTGTGTGGAACTAAAGAAATTTACATTAAGAAAAGAAATTTGTAATAGAAAATGTAAGAAGAGAGAAGTACACTAAGTCTTTGTTTGTCAATCATTCTACCACGTTATTTTTTCTACAGTACTCATTTTCAATCACTCATTTTTCATTAAAATAATATTACACATAAGTCAAAAAAATTTCCTTCTTTTTTAACCACACATTTCAACATCAATCACAATTTCATAACATACTTTTTGAAATTAAAGGGCACAAACAGGCCCTAAAAGTAACTTAGTTTGATGAAGTTGCAGAAGGTGGAAAGCAAAATATGCAAGTCCCAAAAATCTACGAGTTTCTAACTATAGAAAATATGTGCTTGTGTTTTGAATAAGCTCAAGTGGATTACAGATGTATAAAGAATGCTATCAAATGCAAGGCCGGAGCTAGAAGATAAGATTTATGAGGGGAAATTACATAAAATTTTAATTATGGGGGCAAAGCTTGAAAACAATAAGGACTTTTTTAAAAATCTTGAAAAAATATTGGACAAAATATTAAATTTTCAAATTTGCTGTGGGAGCTGGTGGCCCCACTGTGAATCAACCCTTCACTCAAATGGACCCTTCACTCAAATGGATGGTCCAAAGTCCAAACAGGAAAATAATAGTATGAGGTGGTCCAGCAGACTAACTAATTACACACATGCCATTCAGTTTCTTACAGGTGGGCCCCCATCAATCTAACTCATTAGAGGTGTCAATTCGCTGCTATGAGTATCGAAAGCACCGTTTCCGGTGAGCCACCCCCGCCAGCTGCGGCGGCCATAATTTCTTTTGTATTTTATGGTGTGGAAAGGTCATCAAAACTTGTCTCTGCGGCTCAAATCCACTTGACCCCTATCCCTTGTCTCTATTATTTCATATAATCTATACATCTCTTGGTGTGTGTTGTTCAAGATAATGAATATAGGAAAGTGCTACATGTACATAATTATTTACATAATAATGTTCATAATTACACGTGACAATGGATCATTCCTTTAATTCAAATCTTACACTTTCACATTAATAATCGAATTATTGTCACATCATATTATGGACAACATTACGTGCAATAATTATGTATATGTAGACTTTTCTATGTATATGTATATACACACACTTTTTAAGGTTTTATATACACATCAACCTTTTAAATCGTGTTGCTCCCCGCATGAATGTTAACAGCAATTTTTAATATGCTGTTCGATGATGCTTACATCCGGTCTCCTCTACAAGTTCAAGTTGTATCCTCAAAATACTAATTTACATGCAAATTAAATATATTTTTCACTTGGCCTCTCTAATATCATATCAAACGTCTTATCTAACAATTTAAGCCATTAGAAAAATGCTACATAAATACATTTAAATCTTATCCTTATTATGTGAGTATGAAAAACAATTGAATATTAATTAAATCCGGTTGCATAAACTAAATTAACAACTAACTAGCAAATTGCTCCCAACCATGCAGCATAAAATATTAGTCTTATTTCATACGTACAATGATACAATCTTGAAAAATAAGTTTGTGATTATTGTTATTTACATATAGCTTCTACAATGAGTACAGTCAGGGATGTTCAACATAGTATGTTAAATAGATGAGACTGAACACGATTATTGAAAGAGTAAATTTATCTCCAATTTTGTTCACCAAGTATGGAAAGAAGCAGCTAAAAATGCACTGATGCCATCCCTAACAGCTTGAGAAACTGGTTTCTTTGCTGTGTAGGAAAGAGTCTATGGATCAAGATGTGAAAATGAAGCGATTAACAGCATGTTTGCTTAAGCCTTAAAGAAGACTTCTCACTAAACAAGTTTGGACAACTTATCGTTTTCTTACTTTTAATTTACTTTGTCCACTTGTATACTTATAAGTAAACTGTTTAAGCTTAGCCAAACATGCTATAAATTTGCATATATAGTGAGAGAAATGACGTATAAATTTTTGAGCATATTCTCTCTTATCTGTAGTCTATGTCTTGAGAAACTTGAGAGATAATTAGATGTCCTAAAAGCACACAGAACAGTTCGACATTTTAAGCTTATTCTGCTTCCATTTAGGCAATTTTGACGAACAAATTTAAATAGAAATTTTAAACTTATTCTGCTTCCATTTGAATTTACGTAGAAAATATATCATTGCGTACGTATGGGGTTGAAAATAAGTACGTAAAAAAAATAGAGTTTAAAAATAATGGTTTTCAAATAGGGGGTTAGTTTTACCTTACTAATAAATTAGCTTCATTCTGTGGACCAAATGAATTTGTAGAAACAATTATCCTGTTTGTACATCACTTTTTTCACTCCTCTCACAAAGGTAAGGTCCACGATTAAAATAATCGTGAGCCCCACCCACTTGCATGTGTGTATGCTGTAAAAATTGATGTGAAAAAAAGTGTACAAGTAGAATGGTCATTGTGGAAAATGGTACTGTTTTGTTGCCACCATTATGAATTTTTCTTACATCAAAACAATCAAATATTGGTCAATCTTTCTTCAATTGTCTTATCACCTTCCTGTTGATTAAAATGGTTGGTGAAGAATCAAAGTTATACCACAAAGTTATGGGCCATGTTGTATGAATTTTGTAAACTTGACGGACATAGTCACGTGAAAATGTAAACATTAGTCAAAGGGTTGGCCGAAAATTACAATAACAACAGATTAAATTTTAATTCAAAGAATATGGTCGTTCGGTTGCGAGTTAAAAATCTCAATTAATTGCTTGGACTCGACAAGTATTTGTGAAAAGTGACCACTGTGCTAAAATTCAAGTTATGCAGGAAGTAGACATTACCGTAACTTTTGGTAGGGAAATGTTGTGTTGAAATGCCAACTTTATGAATACCAATAATTCGCTTGACATTCTCTTGATGACGGGCGATGTTTCTGTCGTCGACGGTGGTGGTTGATTGGAAGTTATGGTGGATGAAGTGGTGAAAATGGAATGGCGGAAATGGGGTTAGGATTAATTTTTCTATATTAAGTGGGTGGGTGTGGAATGGAGTGAGGAAGTGCACCTGATTTTCCTAAAATAAATTTCTTCGCACTTGATTATTGAAATGAACAATGACAAGGTAGGATGCAATTCTCTCTTTTTTATGTACTAGATCAAGTAAGGTTGGAGGCCCAATATTTTTGAAAGAATTCTGGGCCTCTAGAATTGGGCTCTTTACAAAAATGTGTCTCAAGAACTGTAGTGATGACAAAAAAATTCGCGTTGACAAGTTGACGGGATGGGATGGGACTCGCCGCCCCTTCTCAGGGCTTGGGGCGGGGATGCCCCTTCTTGAACCCGTCCCGTGAAGAGAAAAAAAAATTTTAAAATTTTTTTTTTAACAATTCACCTATTAAAAATCTATTTTTAATTTGTATCTAATTTATTCTCTAATAATAACATAACTCTAAATTTTGAAAAATGTCAAAAAAAGGCAGCAAACGGGGTAAGCTGTCGCCCCGCCTCGTCTAAGGTGGAGCGAGGCACGACTGGGCTTGGGCGGGGCCCAACTGCTATCCCTATCAATGAGTCCTTTACTCTAGCATACGAGTCAATGCTACAATATAACTATCATATTCAATTCAGTCAAGATATTAGGTCATTCGGTGAATGGTTGAACCGATGGATTATTGGTCAAATCGATGTCACTGCTGAATTTTTCAATGTATACGAATTTTGTTTTCTAGACAATGAAAATTTCAAATTGTTTGTTAATAGTATAAACATTTTATCTTAGAAAAGTATTTATATTTTTCTAATAAAATAATAAAATAAATTAAAAAAAGGAAAAAAAAATAATACACTGGACGAAAAAACGGTTGTGGAGATTATAGAGATGCAGGATTTTTTTAAATTTTTTATTTTTTATTTTTGCCTTAATTGTTTTTATCTTCCTTTTTCTTTTCCTTCTATTGCCTTATTTATTTATTTTGTATTTAAAAATTATTTATGTGTACCCATTTTATCCTCAAAACAGTGTTCTACCTGTCGTGAACGTGACATTTCAATGATAATATGGACAATTTTCTTCCTTAGGAAAAGTAATGTAACAAAATTA